GTTCAAGTTTAGGCCTTTGGCATTCTCATCGCTGCTATCCTGTTATAGATAGAGGAAGTTGAATAGTTTGAAAATGGATTAAATATTGGTTGGGATTTTTTTTTCATGTTTATATAAAATGTTTTCATGAAAAAAATATCCTCTCTATCACATCTCTAAATATTCGGTCATCTACAGTAGGAGCTAGCTAAAGGTTGACCATCTGCCAAACCAGTCTAATAATTACTGCCTGGTATTACACCGAGAATGATGCTGTATTGTCTATGGATGCATCATTTACTTAACTCTATTGACACTTGATATGCAGTAAGCGGTCTGTTTGACCTTACCGCACCTGAATTAAGTGGTGGCTTCGCCTCCAAATTTGGGGAAATCACGTCTCGCTGAAAATCACTCTAGCGCTATCCTGTTTTTGGATATGCATGTCCGAATGTTTTCGCAAAAACTTGGGACCAATCTTCTAAGAGTGAAATCAAGAAAAAATTATGATTTTTTTACCTATTTTAAAGCGAAAGTTAAGGGTAATTAGCACTAACAGTCCATTTGAGTTCCGTTAATGTAACGAGTGTAGATTTTTATTTTGATTTTTTTTTAATAAATTGCCAAAAATTTTTGTTTTGCAGCACATAAATTTATACGATATTATTTTCGCGCTTACCATATTATATTCTCCCTGTGTATCATTTGAACTAATGCCAGATTGAGTGGATTCATTGTTGGTGTCTTCTTCCTCTTGAATCGGTACATAGTCAGAGTCATCAGCAGAGCTTTCGTTCGCATATTTAGATAGCAAATCACTGCAGCTCAAATCCGCTTCGGGTGCATCATCTTCACGCTGGCGTTTATAAGTGAAACGTGGAGATTCACGAGACTGTGTATTAAATAAAGTATAAAAACAAAAAAAAAATTGAAGAAACTATTAGCAAAATTTATTTAGTTCCTGTAATACAAAAATACACCTGTAGTATTTCCTGCAAGCCAGTTTTGTGTGCCGCAAAGACTACGCCGGCGGGTTCACAATTAATACGCGGCCGGCACAAAGCGATCGTAAAGAGCTGTCCCAACTTAACCATCAATCCGCCAACTTTTTCATTTTTCAGCGCTTTGCGTGTATGTTCGCGTTGTTGTATCGCCTTAAGACCGTGTACGCGAATTGAGCGCAGCTTACGACGACGCGTTTGTATAAAATAGACAAGATTGTGGGCGGTAACTGGACCATTACCTATAAGCAGAGCACCCAGCGATAGCCAGATACGAAATTGGCGTAGAAGTATGATGACCATAAGAAATGGTAACCACGGTAATGGACGCACCAAGGGAACATCTGCGGAAGTACAAAAAAAAAGTAGCAACATTATTTTGCACTTGCTTGCCCCCGCTGCCGCATAAACTCTCTATTACCATGTGGCAAACTCCACTTTGCGGTATCCTCAAAGATGCGAAGCACTCGATCACCACGCTCCAGCGCAAATTGACCGATGCGCGTTGATGCGAACTTCTCCATCATTTGGTAGACTTTATCGAAGAGTACACTGCCGCTAGTGTCGGTGGCTTCTATGATTGGTTCCAGTTCATCTTCCTTGTTGGCAACGGCGTTTGTATGGTTTTCACGCTGCTGCAGCTGCGTTGCTGGATGTGGTTCTTTGCCTATTTCTAGCACCATTTTAAAGTAGGAAAGTTGCTTAATGAACTAAGTTCAGCTGAAAACGAATTATAAATACAATAATTAAAATGACAACGCTTGTAAAAACTTTTGCTTTTTTTCAAAATATAAATGCATGTGTGTTTGTATGTACATATGTACATACATATATGTATGCATGCATTAGTTATGCGGCGTTTATATGTATGTAGTGCACCATTTGCAAATCAATTTTCTTATCACTATATTTTTGTTAGCACGGATTTGTTTTCTATTTACATATATGTAGGTGCTACTCGTATATTTGTAGTTATGTGTACATATTAGGAATGTTAATCCCGGGATCGCGGTCTTTACTAGGTCCCGAAAATGCCGGGACTCTTGGCAAATAATCTCGGGATTTTCCGGATTTGTAATTTGCTCTGATGGCAATAATATAAACTTCATTTTACCAATATTGGCTATATTTCTGACGACAGTAATTCAAAAATGATTTAAAAAATGCAGTGTAATGTGCTTAGAGAAGAAGTATGAGTATAAAATTAAAGAGAAAATTCTTTAGAGTTTAATCAGATTAAATTTTTTGGTGGATAAGGACTGGTAAGTATTGAAACTGTGCGTTTAAAATTTTATCCTTGAAATTTCGCAATATTTGTTATTAAAAAAAATTATATGTTAAGCACTTATATAAACTCGATAACATCCTCGAATTTTATCCTTCTAACTTTATCAGCTTAAAAAATTAGCTATTCGTACTTTAAATTTTTTAAATTTTAAAGAAATTCCCTCGTTCACTTGGTACCCATATTTTTATTCTACATTGCATTGAACTTTTGAAATAATAGTTGGAATCAATCATGTTTTTAAAATTACAAAGTACTTTAAAATAAATTCTGACGTCAGAAAGAAAAAATAAGAACGTCACTTTAAATAAAAAAGTAGGTTTCAAACCCATTTTTTTATTATATTTATTTTATGGTAGGATTTTCGATTTAAGTTGTTGAAAAGTAATGAATATCTAAATTTCGGGACTAATCGCGGGATCCCAGGATTGTAACAACCACATCTCGAAAATCCCGGGATCGTAAAAAGCGTAAAAATTAACAGCAAATGTACCCTCTGATTAGGCATAACGCCAGCATCTGAGCTAGGTAAAACGAGACAAAACTTATGTTGAACTTGACTCATAGAATCGGCGAGAGCAGACAGCGGATTTCTAAAAAAAATTGGTGAGGTAATCGTAATTTGCATAAAAATCATAGCAGTAAACACGCAGCGCACACATACATTTGTACGACATATTTAAACAAAATTAAGAGAAGAGGAATTATGTTGCTGTAGAAAATACTGAACTTCGCACCTCGCAAAACTACACATGTATGTATGTAGGTACGTATGTATGTATAATCCCGCAAATGTAAATGGTGGCCCGCCTTATCAGCGTAACTGTTTAAAAGTTTAAAATTAAGTGTAGCTTGTTTTTGTGGGTGAGATTTTCATTATCAGCAATCGCTGTTCTCTACCTACATACGTATGTACATACGCGCATATTTGTAAGCTGAAGAGCGCATGGAATTATTTTTGAATTTTCTACAATTTCAAATTTTACTCACTTTAAACGTTAATTAAATGTTTTGTTGGTTGGTGCAAGTATAATTGAAATTAGGCGCTAAATGTTTTATATTATTTTGTTCACGTGATAGCGTAAATAATACTAAATAATAAATACATATAGTATATGTGTATGTATGTGTGGGTATACGTACCCTGCAGAAAAAATTTAACAATTGATAAAAATAACACACTTGTAGTTAGCTTTTTTACGGGATTTTTATAAAACATATAACTTGTAGTTAACTACAAAAAGCTAACTTGAAACTAGTTGACAAGTAATGCAGGAGTAATGCAGACGTAATCGGGAGCTTGTTTTCTTTAGACAAGTTTCTATTTAGATATCCTCATACAAATTTTATTTTGAATGACTTTCTTTCTGGACTTCACAAATACTTTTTCGAAATGAGGACAGATAAAAGGAAGAACGAAATTTTATATTATCATTTTCGCATTTGGAACCACTTACAGCAGAGTATGTAAACAAATATGTAATGTAATAAAATAAAGGCTGCGTTTCTTTATACATTCCGGATAATCCCATTTCACAGCCGGAATAAATAGAATGCGTTTGAAATATACGTCAACATATCATCAGGAACGTTCTAAAGAATAAATAAACAAAAAAGTTTATTCCAAACATTTAGAATGAATAAAGAAATGCAGCCAAAGTAAATAAATAAAAAAGTAAAAAATAAAATAAAAGAGTATTTTACTTTTCTTATTGATATTCTATGTATGTTAGTTGACATCTAATGCAGAGGTAACCAACCTTGACTATTTCGTGGCCATCGACATATAATTATAGTTAGCTTTCCTCAAAGAAAATATACTGACCTTTAGTTTCTTCGCAATCAACTTGACGTTAACTAATAGTTAGATACATTTCCCGCAGGGTATGTTGGTATACACTTACATGTGTATGTGAATTCAACATTTACGGCGCACATATATGCGCCGGGTGCCTGGTGCAATGGGGTCAGCGATAGAATAGATCAAGAAGGCTTTTTTGAACTCTTAGCCCCTTTGAAACCGAAATAAATGTAAATATAGTGCTTGGCACAATCATATGCCACCCCACCACCATATGAACACGTTTTGACTATTTTTTTTTATTTAATTCTAATTAAATTATTTTTTTAATATATATATTTTTTCTACCAAATAACAATTCACTAAATACGCGTATGGCGAAGTCTCGCACAACCGAGTCCAACTAATATTTTTAGAAAAATGATTTCAAATCCTTACTTCCTTACTAATATTATAAATCCGAAAGTGAGATTTTTGGTTTGTTACGCTTTCAAGCTTTAACTACTCAACCGATCATCATGAAATGTTGTACACTAGTGTCATTCGGCTCAGATTAAAATATAGCATAAATCTAATCTCGATTGGACAAAGGAGGCGCGGCACCTCCCATACAAACGGCATTTTTCATACTGCTTATCGCAGGATATATTTGTGATAGAGTACTGGAACTTGGTATGGAGATACATATATAAAATCAATTCCACACTCATGGAGGATGGCTGCCACATGTTTAAAAAATCAAATTCAATTTGAATTAAGGGAATTATTTATTTGAAAATTTGGTTTTGTTATTTTTTTGGCCTTATAACAATTATATTCAACAATTTTTATTGAGCTCGAGGCCGTTTTTTAAAGAAAATTTATTGTGGAAAAGCAACAATAATTTGAAAAAAATGGTTGAAGTGATAGCTATTTCGGAAATCACCACATTTCCTCATCAGTAGTACTGAAAGAAGTTAAAATTATATTAAAAAATTGATGTCACAAGGCTCAAAAGTAGTAGTTTAAAAATATTTTGAAAAGGGTGCCACCTGTTTGAAAAGTCAAATTTCAATTCTGAAAAATTTAAACATGGGTGTCAAACGAAAGATTGTTAAGAAACCTTTAGATTGTACATTTGAACATTATTAAGGTATTTCACTAGGTTTGCCACCTGATGACAAATTAAATTCAATTACCTTAAATAAATTACTACAGTATGGGTGTCAGTCGAAATATTATTGGGAAGGGTGTTAGTTCTAAACTACATGAAGGACGATTGCCAAATGCATAACAAAGGGTTAATTTCTATGTTTATATTTTTTGACAATACAATCAACTATGAGAGAGCTCGATTGAGTTGTCGTTTCTACCTTGTTGAATATGCCTTGCACCTAATGCAGCACGCAAAAATTTCATACGCTCAGCGAAGCGGGTGATGGCGATCTAGAAGATTTAATAGTCGCAGCTTATTAATAGTTATATGGGTGTCGTATAATTGTAATAAGCACTATTTGCATAATTATGAGAGATTGTAGGCGTTAATCTATGCAATTTTGTATACATCCCGTATGTGCCTGGTTCAAAGGGGTCAGCGATAGAACAGTTCAAGAAAGCTTTTTTGTGCTTTAAGACTTTTTGAAGCATTAACACCGATAATAATGTCAGCATTGAAATCCAACGTAGAATCACTCTTGCCAACAAGTGCTACTTTGGACTGAGTAGGCAATTCAGGAGTAAAGTCCTCTCTCGACGTACGAAAACCACGCTCTATAAGTCACTCATCATGCCCGTGCTGGTATATGGCGCAGAAGCATGGACAATGACAACATCCGATGAGGCGGCTCTTGGAGTGTTTGAGAGAAAGATTTTGCGGAAGATTTACGGGCCTTTACGCGTTGGCGACGGCGAGTACCGCAGACGATGGAACGATGAGCTGTATGAGCTTTACAACGACATAGACATAGTGCAGCGAATTAAAATACAGCGGCTCCGCTGGCTTGGTCATGTCGTTCGAATGGACACCGACGCTCCAGCTCTGAAAGTATTCAACTCGGAACCCGCTGGTGGTAGCAGAGGAAGAGGGAGGCCCCCACTGCGATGGAAAGATCAGGTGGAGAAGGACTTGGCTTCACTTGGCGTTTCCAATTGGCGTCAGTTGGCACAGAGGAGAAACGACTGGCGTGCTTTGCTGAACTCGGCCAAAATCGCTTAGGCGGTTACAGCGCCAAAAAAGAAGAAGAAGAAGACTTTTTGAAACCGGAATAAATGTAAATTTTACATAACTAGTTTGAGGGCGGTTATCTATTCATTTGGGTATATGTATTCATAAAAAAAGGTATTCGTATAAATTTAATAGACAAATGTATGCATTAACACTCTTACTTATTCAAGGCTGCCGTAGATGCTGTCTTGTATTTGGTGAAGCTTTGCTATACATGAGCGTGATGGGGTAAATATGTGCGTTATTCTGAGTAGAGATAGACCGATACTTTTCATAAATACTGAGCAGTATCGAGAACTCGATGGTTTTTGATGAGTGCTGAGTAACAGATGAAAACACTAAAGAGCATCGACGTGTTAAAAATTGTTTTTAAGTAACAAAAATTTTATTTTAATTAAATACAAAAAAATCTTTCCTTTATTTCTGGTTTCTAAGCAAGTTCTAAAAACGGTTTGAGTTTTA